GGAAGGGCCAGCCCAGCAGGGGAGCCCGGGGGACGCGGGGACATGCACGGGCACAGGGCACACACGCACTGCCACCGGCAGGCACTGTTCAGATCCTGGTGGACCGTGTCCGGTCTCTGTGGTCCTCTCTGACCCTTGGTTTCCTCCTCTGTTCCATGGGGAAAATAGTGAAACCATATCATCATCATCATCATCATCATCATCATCATCATCGCCAATGGGGACAGCAGTAACAATACCAGTTGTTTATTGAGTCCTTGTGTCCCACCGAGGACAGCGTCTTACATAACCGCCCTGTAGGTAAAGGGCAGCGCTGTCCTAAGCGCCTGGCACACTCTGAGGTGGGCAGAGACCAAGTAGCAAGTGGCAAAGCTGAGACTTGAACCCAGGGAGCAGGCTGTCTCCAGAACCCGCGCACTCGGCCGCCACACCTCACGGCCGCCTGTGAATTCAGACGGGGGTGGCAGGGGCACCACAGTGCTATCCGGGCTGGCAGACATTCTGTGCCCGCAGACGGGAGCCCACACCACCAGGGAGTTGAGGCACGGCGGGTCGTTCCGGGGTGAGGGCCGGGCGCCAGGGCGAGGACTCTGAACGGATTCAGGATGGACGCTTCTGGTTGTGGGTGTGGAGTGCGTGTCCTGGGGAAGGCTCAGGGCCCTGGAGTCCGAGGGGCTGGGGCAGCCAGCACCCTGCTGGGTTGGAGTGTCTGAACTTGAATCTGATGCTCAGCTTCTGAGATCTCAGGCTGGGCTGGGAGGAGCGATGACAGAGCTGAGTTTGGGGGCTGTGTTTTGGGGTCCGCCCGAGCTGGGAGGTTCCTCAGCCATATTTTGGATGAGTGTTTTGGGGTTGTGGCGATTACGAACCAGGGGTGTGGGGCAGTGTGGGCTGAGCTGGATTGAAGGCCCAGAGCTGTCTGGAATGAAAGTTCTGGAAGCGAATGTGGGGTTCAGTGTCTTGAGTTGAAATGTGGTGGTGGGTGGGGTGAAGGGGAAGGGTCCATTGTGTGGATTCAGGGGCGAGGGTCGGAGAGTAGAGTTGGTTTGGAGTATAATGTTTCCAGATGAAATAAAGGTCCCCCAAGTGAGTTTTAGACCCAGAGTAGAATTTTGGTTGAGCTGGAATTTGGGAATGGATTGGGGGTGAAGGGAATGAGGATTCCGAGGCAGAATTTGGGAATGAAGTTTCTAGAATGGGATCCAGGTTGAGCGATGTTGAGGTGAGTTTTGGATGAGGGCTGCGGTGGTGAGAAACTCCCAGACCTGGCCTTGGGGTAAGGGAGGAGCAGGATGGGAAGGCGGGTGGGCACTTCTGGGCCACATTTGAGCGACGATGTGGGGCTGTTTGAGATGAAAGAGAAGTTCAGTGTTGCTATGGGTGCCAGAGCCGAACAAACGTGAGGCACCAGAATGGAAATTTGGGAGCTGCCTGAGCTAAATTGGGGCTGAAGACTGAAGGTTATTTTAATCACAGCCGAGACTGGGTTTGGCGGCGAGGGCTGTGGAATCCGTTGGAAATGGGAGGATTTGGAAATGGCTGAAGTGAAGTTCTGGAGGGGGGATGGCACAGGGGGGGAGACGGGGTCGGTGCCAGAGGGGATCTGTGAAGGGAGGGGTTGGGTGGCTGGTGAGAGGGAGGGATCCGGAGGGGGAAAGGGACTCCAGAGCTAAGGCAGGTTCTGGGATGGACGAGTTGGGGGGGGGGGGTCCCTATAGGCGGGCTGGGTGTGCGTCCGGAGCCCAGAACCCCATGCACCTCCCTTTCCTCTATGCCCAGGCGGAAGCACGTGGCCGCCCTCCTGGACATCCGTGGCCTGCGCAACGCAGCCGCCCGCCAGGAGATCCTGGCCGTGGCCCGGGACCTGGAACTGTCTGAGGGGGAAGCCCTGTCACCACCCCGCGACCGTGCCTTCTTCGCGGACATCCCCGTGCCCCGCCCGCCTTTCTGCCTCGGCCTCCCTCTCCTGGGCCGCTTCCCAACCCTGGGGATGGCCAGGCCCCGGCTGGCCTGTCTGCCCAGGCTTCGGCCTCCACCTCCATCACGGACCTGGGCCTGGGCCCAGCGCTGAGACTCTCCCAGCGCCCCCCCCCTCCGTGCCCCATCTTTGCTGCTGACACACCGTCCCCCTGACTCCCTGCCTGGGACCCCAGGCCCCTGGATGTACAGAAGAGAAACCGGGGTCAGAGGGAGCAAGGACGTCTCCGAGGCCAGGAGGCCGCTGCAGCACCAGCTCCCAGCCCGGCGGGTGGCGGGTGGCGTTGGAAGGCGCTACAGAAATATCCCAGGCCCCCCCTTTCCCCTCACCTCAAGGTCTGGCCCCCATCCAATGTATTAAGGAATGTACGATACTTAGAATAAAGAGGTTTCTATTTAACACAAGGAAGGGCCGAGTCCCCAGTGTGTGGGGGAGGAAGGACTGGAGGGCAGGGCCCCGGGCCAAGGGCCTCTCACACGCCCAAGGCCGGGCTAGGGTCCAACTGGCGGGCAGCACATGGAGACTGAGGCCCAGCGGACCGGGAGCCTACGAGCTGCCCCATTTGTACAAGTCCCCGGGCTGCGTGACTCCAGGGCCAGCCCTCGGCCACTCCGAGCCCCGGTGCTTCATCTTGTCAGTCTCAAGAGCCTCTGCCTTCCTGGGCCTGGCCGTTCACCTTGGGCCGCCCTCCCCATCCATCCTTAGCCGGGAACTGTGTCCAGAGAGGAAGGAGGTTGGGGGCAGGGCCGGCGGCATCCAGGGCGCCCTCCTGGGTTGACGCAGGAAAATCTCAGGGTGGGAAACGTTCCAGCCTCTCACCCCCAGCCCTGCCGGATCCTGGTCCCCACGGAGACCTTGCGGTCACCTCCCAGCTGACCCTGCCCCTCCGGCCCAGTTGGACAGCCTGTGATGGATGCTTCCTGGCCGTTTTTTTTTTTTTCCTGAGAAGTCAGAAGGAGGAGGCAGCCAGGGGTCAGCACTGGGGCCGGGGTGGAACCTCACGCACATTTGAACTCTGAAGGTGGGAACTCAGGATCTTTGGAGCCCGGGGTTGTGTGACCTGCGGCTGGAAACTGACCCTCTCCGGGCTGTGGTTCCTGTCTCTACAGAACTGCTTAAGCCCAGGACAAGGTGAGACATCCAGAGGAGGTACCCTCCTCACCTCAACTTCTAAAATGACACTTACATCCCTGGCCGGTTTGGCTCAGTGGATAGAGCATTGGCCTGCGGGCTGAAGGGTCCCAGGTTTGATTCCGGTCAAGGGCACATGCCTGGGTGACAGGCTCGATCCCCGGTAGCCGATCAATGATTCTCATCATTGATGCTTCTATCTCTCTCTCCCTCTCTCTTCCTCTCTGAAATCAATAAAAGTATATTTTTTTAAATTAAAAATAAAATGACACTTTCAGCGTCATTGCTACATGAGAGGAACTGGGGAATTAACGACATGTAGTTTGTAGGCATTTCATTCATTCAGGATGTATTCATCTGGGTTTGGCAGTGTTCTTTTCAGGTTTTGCAAACATTTTCTTGGTCTGACCTGAGAAGCTCTGACCTTACCCCCAGGGCCTCAGTTTCCAATTTTGTAATAAGGGGAAAGGGTCCTAACAGCTGCAATAATTTAGCACTTACTGCATTCCAGGTCCCATGTTGTAGGGAGCGGCTATAGGGTCAAGCCTCGGACTGACCTGTGGCAGGGCCACACACAAGTCCCAGCTTGGAGGGCAGGGCCCTCCTAGCACAATTAAGCTTGACCTTACAGTCCTCCCTTGTTCCTAGGTAGCTAATGGGCTGCGGGAGGTGCAGCAAGTGCTGCCAAAACAAGGCTTGAGTAATGAAATAGATTTGTAACTCGCAAGAACATTGTAAACATGTTGACCACTCCCCTTGCTTTGCTTTGTGTGATCTGATGATAAAATAAAGCTTCGGCTTCAGGGCTGGGTCACTGCTTCCTCATCCAGGCAGTGATCCACCTGGTCCCAGCTGTATTCTCTTGTCTGTCTTCTTTCATCCTTCCCCGCCCCTCCTCAGGCTCACCCCTGGCCGTGCTGGACGCGGTTCACTATGTTCCCAAGGTTTTCACTCAGGGCCCCTTCTCATCAAACTTGCAGACTGGGAAACAGAGGCCCAGACAGAGGCAGGAATGCAGCCAAAGTCACCCACCCAGCAGGTGCCAGGACCCCACCTGTACACCCCAGGCTCTTACAACAGCCATCGGGGAGCAGGCTGGGCGGGCTCAGCGAGGAGGTGGCACGGGTCCTGGCTCAGGGAAAGTGCTGGGGAAGCATTAGGTGCGTGGACTGAGATGGAGGTGGGTTCCACCCTGACACCACCCTTCCCTGGCGGTGGCACTGGGACAGGTTGCAGCTGGCCAAGGTGGTGAGAGACTTGCATGCTGAAAGCTAGCAAATATTGCTGAGAACAATTAAACAAGACGCAAATATATGGAAAGACATCCTATGTTCATAGTTTCAAAGACAATATGGTTAACATAACAATACTACCCAAAATGTCTACAGATTCAATGTAGTCTCTGTCAAAATCCCAATAGTGTGTTTTTGCAAAAATAAAAAAGTTCAACCTAAAACTCATATGGAATTTCAAGAAACCCTGAATAGCCCTAGCCAGTTTGGCTCAGTGGATAGAGCATTGTGCTTGGACTGAAGGGTCCCGGGTTCGATTCCAGTCAAGGGCATATGCCCGGGTTGTGGGCTCAATCCCCAGTAGGGGGTGTGCAAAGGCAGCTGATCAATGATTCTTTCTCTTCATTTATGTTTCTATCTCTCTCTCCCTCTCCCTTCCTCTCTGGAATCAATAAAAATATATTTTAAAAAATTAAGATCAAAGGCCTAAATTAGGAGCTAAAACTATAAAACTCTTAGAAGAGAACATCGGGTCAAAATCTTCATGACGTGAATTTAACAAAACCACAGGCAATTACAACAACATCAAAATAGATCAATTAGACTTTATCAAAATTAAAAATGTTTGTGCATCAAAGGATACTATCAATAGAGTGAAAAGACAACCCACAGAATGGGAGAAAATATCCACAAATCATACATCTGATAAGGGATTAATAGCCAGAATATAAATACCTCAACAAGGAAATAAAAAACAACCCAATTCAAAAATGGGCAAAAGACTTGAGTAGACATTTCTCCAACGAAAATACTGTACAAATGGCCAAGAAGCCCATGAAAAGATGCTCTTTAGGGAAATGCAAATCAAAAAGTACCACTTCACTCTCTTTAGGATAGCATTTATTTATTTATTTATTCATTCCTCACTCGAGAACATGCTTAGAGAGAGGAAGGAAGGAGGGGAAGGAGGGGGGAGGGATGGAGAGAGAGAGAGAGAGAGAGAGATCAATGTGAGAGAGAAATGTTGATTGTTGCCTTCTCTCCCCCTTACACTCCTGAAACCCAGGTATGTGCCCTGACTGGGAATCAAACCAGCAACCTTTCAGTGCATGGGACGATGCTCAAGCAACTGAGCCACACCAGCTAGGGCTTTTTTTTTTTTTTTTTAATGCGAAGAAAAATAACAAGTGTTGGCAAGGATGTGAAGAAATTGGAACCCTGTGCATTGCCAGTGGGTATGTAAAATGGTAAAGCCAAAGCCACTGTGGAAAACAGTACAGAAACATAGAGTGACTACATGACCCAGCAATTTCACTTCTAGGTATAGACCCAGAATAATTAAAAGCAGGGACTCACGCCCTGGCCAGGTAGCTCAGTTGGTTAGCGTGTTGCCCGGATACACCAAAGTTGTGGGTTTAATCCCTGGTCAGGGCACATACAACAATCAACCGTTGAGTGCATAAATAAGTGAAACAACAAGTCAATATTTCTCTCTCCCTTCCTCTCTTCCTAAAATCAATAAAATTTTAAAAAATCAACTTGAACGAATACATAAAACATTACAGTCAACAATGGCAAAGTATACATTCTTTTCACGTGTACGTAACCCTTTTAGGTGGCTTCTGGTTTCCGGTTTCACACATAAGGAGCTTGGAAATCGCCATTCAGTCTTCACGATTAAAAAGCTGGACAGCCCTAGCCGGTTTGGCCCAGTGGATAGAGCATCGGCCTGCAGACTGGAGGGCCTCAGGTTCGATTCTGGTCAAGGGCACATGCCTGGTTGTGGGCTCAATCCCCAGTGGGTGGTGGGGGGGGTGTAGGAGGCAGCCGATCAATGATTCTCTCTCATCATTGATGTTTCTTTCTCTCTCTCCCTCTCCCTTTCTCTCTGAAATCAATAATAATAATAATAATAAAGCTGGACAGATTGAAAAATACGCAAGTCTGGACTGCTGAGAGAGGTGAGGACACAGGGCAAAGACTGGAGAGACTGACAGGCGAATAGGTGCGGAGAATAAACCTCCCCGAGCAGAAACAGCTGCGGGAACCAGTGCCCGGGCAGGAAAACCAGGCCTGTCATTGACAAATTGCTGGAACCTGTGTGTGGACAACTCCAAGAGTTAAACATGCCAGCAGGTCCCAGTAATAGGAGGACACCCCCCACCCCCCAACACACACACAGACACAATTTTGTAAAATTTACCTCCAGGAGCTCAAGTAGGTTCCCACAGTAAATATTAGAGACACCCCCTCGTGCTTCTGGTAGGGAGAGCAGGAAAAGGACCATTTTGACATTTTTGAGAGCCTCACCCACTGCAGGACCATCAGCCTGACTGACCTGAGGAAGGGAAGTAGCCCAGCCCACCCACTCTAGCCAGCCTCTCCCACTTAAGAGGGAGAAAAAAAATTAAGACACTTGTGAAGTCTAGAGGCATAAGCATGAGCTCACTAAAACAGTGAGGCCTCAGCATAGAC